AACAGATTGTTTGTGTTTGTTGAAGTGTCATTAGAAGCAGCCGGTGGTGGAGCTGGGCTGGGCAGCAGCGGGGGGATGGACACGGTTGTCCCTGTGCCTGAGGATGTCACCCTGACCTCCTTCTCCTCCTGTGCTGCCTGGTCCCTGCCCCGAGGGATGCGGTGGCCACCCAGGAGGGGAACGGAGGCTTTGCCTCGCCCCTCCTGGTACATTCATCCTTTTTTCCCTGCGGTGCAGTGAAGGACTGCACAACACCAGGAACTAAATCCTGCTGCCCTGGGATTTGGCCGGTAAGGGCTGGATCTGCAGGGATGCAATTTTCATTTTTAAGACAAGAAGAAATAAGGGTTTCCAAGCAGCAACAGACCCCAGCACCAGCCTAACAGGCCCTTGGAAGCTGCTCTGAGCCCTTCTCAGCTGTTCTTCACACAGTCTGACCACAGCAAGTGTCGGGCTTCAGTTACCTAATTAAACACAGATGCAAATAACAACGCTGCTCCAACAATACATCACCTTTTAGTGTTCCCAGGTGCTCCTGGCCACCAGTGAGTGCTGCAGCCCCGAGCAGGGCCCGCAGCTCGGCCGGTGAAGCAAACCCACCTATAAATACCGCTGGCAGCAGGCTGCAGCTCCAGGCAGGGAGGGGATGGCTGTGGTGCTGGAGGGGGAGTGTGGTGGGGGTAAGTGTTCAACAGACCGTTGCAAATGTGCCTCTGCTTTATGGCATTGAGGAGCAGTGGGTTCAGCTGCCTGCTGCTCTGTGTTTGATTGCTCGGTGACCTGGGGGCTGGTGGTTGGAGTTTGCTCCTCCAGCAGCTCCTGCTTGCAGAGCTGTGCTCCTCATGGGAGCAGCTGCAGTGGGATGTGCAAAGAGCATGGTGGAAAGGTGCTGTGGGGTTGGATGGAGTCCTTGTGGCTGTTACTCCATGCTGGCAGACCAGCTCTGTGCCTGCAGGCTCCTGGGAGCAGTATCTCAGCCATGGCACAGACCAGCGCTCCCTGTGTGAGGTGGTGGCTGTCCCTGAGCTGTCCCTGCCCTCCCAGGGCTCCTCTCCTGGCTGCTGCCCTGTGTCCCTCCAGAGGCCATCCTGCTGTTGGTCTGTTCTCTGCCCAGCACACGTGTGCTCCCCAGCTCTGGGTATGGGCTGTGCTGGGAGCTGCGAGGGAGGTTTGCCTCTGCAAGTAAAACTCAGCCAAGGGAATTTCCCTCTTTGAAATGCTTCTTCCTGGTTTTTGTTTCTTTGCGACTTCAAGATTTTTGTGCTTGCTCAGGACTCTGACCTGCCCATGTGGGAGACCCCAGGGCTGGGGTGGGAGCTCAGGGAGCTGCTGCCTTTCATCAGGATCCTGCACCCGCTGCGGAGGTGCTGCCGTGCTCTGCTCCCGCTGACCTCAGCCACCGGGAATGCACCATGGCCCTGCCCGTGCCAGCGGGACAGCACAGGGAAACCTTCCCGGCTTGGCTTCCTGCGGAAATGGAGCCCGCTGAGCTCGCGGGGTATGTGACAGTGTGTGTAGCTCTGTGCACCCTCATGCCCCATGAGCCCAAAACTGGCACAGTGCGGACCCCCACACTTCAGGGGTTCGGTATCACCCTGGGGGGCGGCTGGTGCAGCCCTGCCCGTGCCATGCTCTGACCCCGCTCATCTCACAAGGGATGGGCTGTCCCCTGCTGCAGGGAAACCCTGAAGAACAGTGAAAAGAGGGAAGTTTCCGTCTTTTGCTGGCAGTCAGTTCTGGTTAACATGGATTGCTTGACAGATCCTCATGCACACTGCAGTGTTTACCATGGTCACGCCACTATCTTCCCCTCCATTAAGTCATGCAACTGGTAAGTGACTCCTTCCCTTCTTTCTCCTCATGGATCCAAAAGGTGTCTAAATGCCGGTGATTTTTTCCTTGTACATATCAAAAATGCAACCTTCTCCTGGGGTTAGCAGCCAGTGACTCCACGCAGAGTATTTTTGCTCCTGCTTTTACCTGCTGGCCTCTTCAGCACACAGCCTGCTCCAGCTCCTTTAAATGATCAGGTAAAATTATCTTTTTGACCTGCTGACCTGAACCTTTCTGCTTGCTGTTCCCACACTGAAGCCAGTTAAATGCTTGTGTCATTGCTTTGCAGCTCCACCTCACTCCTTTGCATCCTTCACGCCTGACCTGTCCTCTGCCCATGGCCTCTGGCCCTTCTGGTGCCCCTGCTGCTGCTCAGGCCCTTTGGTGTCTCTTCTCCAGCACTCGCCCACAGACTGGACTTTAAGATGCGGCGTGTGCTCAGAATAACCTGGGCAGTGGGGCAGGACTGGAGCGTTTGGGCATCGCCGCAGCTGGAATCGTAACGCTCGTCCCCATCCCACTCCATTGCCTGCCCTGTGCCTGCACGAGGAGCAGACCTGTGGTGCTTGCTCTGAGGAAGCAAAACACAACAAAACATTTTTCAGCAAAGCTTGCAAGCGGAAACATGCCTTCAAAGCCTTGCAGTCCAGTTCTCTACGGCTTTTCTTTCTGTCCTACTTTGCACATACCCTGCTTTGCTGCAATAGATCCAACCCAACGTGTTACGCTCCTTAGGGCAAAGGCTGTCTCTCTTTGTTCTGCAGAGCTGCCAGCATGCTTCCAGCCATCACTTCGCATTTCCTGACACGGGGAGGAGGGTGAGGAGAGGCCCCGTGCTGGAAAGACAGATGTCATTAAAATACAGTGGAAAAGAGGCTGAAGTAAAACACAGCGCAGTGGTGATCTACATCATGAAACCTGATGGCTTGGCTGCTGCATGCGAAATTATTATTGCTGTATTTTTAGTAGGACTCGTGCTAGCTGGGGGAAACAAACCCATGAGAGCAGCGTGGATGCTGCTGTGTGGCAGGGCTGTTGCAGGTGGTGCTGGGCTCCTGACAGCCTGTCGGTCCCCTGCCTGCTGCTCCCTGGCTCTGCCCTGTGCCGTGCCGCCCGCCCCGGCACGCGGTGATGCTCCTGGGCTGGAGCGAGGCAGGTACGGCTCTGAACGGTCCTGTGGGGGCTATTTAATGTGCAAAGGTTGGCCTGAGCTGTTTGGAGCCGCTAAGAAATGCAGAAGGGCTGTTCTAGAGTCTTTTTGCAAGATTTATCTGTACAGGGACACACACAGAAGTGCATGCACAGCTGGGTGAGGAGCCCTCTACAGCACGCATCAACAGCAGCTGCTGTGTGCGACCTGGGGTTTACCTGGGGAACATACGTCTGTCGGTTGTTTGAGCCTCTGCAAAGGTGGAATTCACCTGCCCGCAGCCCCTGCGCCCGCAGCCGCGAGCTGTTCGCACTGAGCGAGCCCAGCCGATAGCGCTGCAGAGGAGGAGATTGCTGTAATGTGGAAATTACAGGGCAAGGGAGGTTTGCTGCTCTGGCAGCACCTGTAAGTAACTGTAAGGATGGAAGTCGCTTTGCCTGTCTCACTGCTGCAGACCATGGCAGCGGTGCTCAGCTGTGTTCTCTCATTGCTGCTTTGAACCACGTTTCCTGTTTGATTGTTCCCTTAATCAAAAGAAAATGAACTCCAATTATGGTATCTCGCGAAGTCTGATTTGTGTCGCACTAACCCTGCCGGTGTCCCTTTGAGAAGCAGTCGCACGGAGCCCTGGTTCACACGGGGCTGAGGAGGAAGGGGTGGATCAGGCTTCTCCAGTAAATGCAGTGAGAGCCCAGTTCGACTCATGCAAATCAAAGTGTTCGTGTAGAGTGAGATCCTCCTGCTTGAGATGGGATGGGAGACTGGCACGAGCATCGTCAGAGTGTTTGGGAAATGCAGAGGGCGTGCCCGTGGCTGCGTGTTTACCCAGGCGTGCTCGTGCAGGTTCTCTTGGTGGAAGATGCATCTTCTGCTCGTGTTACACGAGGCTTCCAGCAGCCCCAGGGACCTGCAAGAGCAGCGTCTGTCACGACAGAAACCGCTTTCGGCACGTGGAGACCGTGGCCGGTTGGAAGGTCTGTATTGTTATTAGTGTGCGGCCTTGGGAGCTGTCATGTATTTCATGAACAAAATTTAATAACCGTAATAAATGAATCTATTGAGAATATTAAGCTTTAAAAGTGCTGGTTTTGGATTAAAAGCAGATAGCCTTGGTGGGGTGTAAGCAGAAAGCTTAGTTTAAGTCCTACTCAATGAAACTGCATTTAACAGTGGAGATTTACTGAAATCTTACGCCGACATCTCTGCTTTTCCACGGTGACCCGGGGCCCCGTCCCCTTCTGCTCTGCACCTCTGCTTTGCCTGCTGGGAAAGAAAATGACCCAACGGGAATAGCTTGAGCACACGCGAGGGAGGGGCTGCAAACACGCAGAGGATTGGGCTTCGGGTGGCTCTCGGTAGGTGACTGTCTTTTAAAAATGTAAAACAAACCCAGAACGGTCAAAAGGCCCTGGAAGGCAGCGAGAATTACAAATAGGGACTGAAAGCTAAAGAGAGAGAAAATCTTAATTAGATCTCCACCAACCTGTAGAGGAACATGTTTGGATTAAAATGAAATGGAGCTTTGTACTCTCAGGGCTTCAGAGCAAGAATGGGAGAGGAATTATTCACATTTGCTATTTGTGAAGCTGGATTGCTTTTTTCCATGAACTTGTCTTTTTAACTTCTCACCTTGTCAGGAAATTGTGAAAATCTGCTGGGATGGTGTATTTGGGGTAGTTCTTATCGCAGCGCATAGCAGAAACATTTCCATGGTTTCAGAACACGGGCAGAGTTTTCTGTTTAATCCTATCCTCCGAGCTAACTCCTTTCCTCTTGCGGTAAGCCAGCCTGCCCACCATCCACCAACCCGCCTTGTATTTCGCTACCATCAATATTTTCTCTTTGTGAATATCTATCAATATTTAACACAGTGGTGTCAGTTTTGCTGTAAGATGAGAGGGACTACTAGAAACCCTGAATTATGCATCGTGTGGCTGGGGGAAGCTGCAGAGAGTTTTCTTTTGGACCCAAAGCTCCTGGAGTTGATCTCCAGGACCCGCAGCCTGAAATCCTAATGATGGATGAGCATCAGAAGAAACTCAATCAGCGGCACGAAGGAAAGCCCCGCAAAGTGAGGTTCAAAATATCATCCGCGTACAGCGGTCGAGTGTTGAAACAAGTCTATGAAGACGGGCAGGAGCTGGAGCCCCCGGCCAAGGAGCACTCCCGGCGTTTTCTCCGCCACAGCTTCGAGCCCGGGGACCCTTTCTGCGGGGCTGGGGAAGCGCCAGAGAACAGGTTGTACTCGCCAGCCCAGCTGACTGCCCAGCGCATCAGCATATTCAAAGAGGACAAGAAATACGGCCTGGCCAGCAACTCGCCTCTGCTCAGCGACGGCCAGGCCAGCGACGGCTGCTGCAGGGTAAGTGGTGTCCAGCCCGGGGCCACCAAACCGCGCGGGAACCTGCCTCGGGCTGAACCACTTGTGTGGCAATATGGTGAGAGGAGTCTCCAGCTGGAACCTCGTTCAGATAAAGCTCGGTTTGGTCACTCCAGGATTTTAAAAGGGTGACGGTTAGTCTCCAGCCCCTATCCCACCAATTCTGTGTTCTGCTCGCTCTGCGAGTGGCAGGTCTGCGTGTTCTGCAGCAGTGCCGTCGGCGAGCGAGCAGCATCCGCTCGCTGTGCTCCGTCTTCCCACTGGTGATCTGCATCTGCCCATCTTGTAGAATTAGATGTAACGTTTCCATATATACCAATATCTATAAATAGTAATCCTAATGCACCTCAAGCAGCCAGATGTAAGGTGGATATTATCTTAATTAGTTATATTTAAAACATTAAAGTTGCATGACTTCAGCTGGTAAAAGGTTAGTGCCGCCAGCAGCGAGCCTCCGAGCGATGCATCCGCGTCCTCTGCCGAGTCAAATTCCCCTTCAGCTGCTTTGAAAATCCCAGCTTAGTTTCAGTGGGTATTTTGTTAACGTATAATTAATGCCACTGATGCAGAAGTGTCTCTTTAGTCCTAATAAAAACCGGTGTGTGTGTAATATATGTTAAATTGATTCATACACAGGGATTGTGTTCATTTTCTTACCCTGTCGAATCAGATCGATGTATCTTTTGCTGCTATTTGGTGTTATCAGCTCTAGATGTACCAACCGAACCATTCACACACCAGTGTCGGCACATCGGCAGTATTGGTACCAGCCGCGGCACGCCGACAGGCAGGCTTTAAATGGAGTTGGTTACACTGATATAATCAGCAGGCTCCTAGAGCTGAGTCTGCCCAGAGATAAAACAATAAAAAGGAAGACGGTGCGAGGTGCGCTGGCTGGCTGAATCATTCTCACGCCTTTCCCTGGGGACGGCTCATTCCAGCCCAGCTCGCACTGACCCACGAGCAGTCAGTGCCGGCACACCACCCCCCTGCTGTCCCGCGCCCCCAGACCGCAGAAGGGCTGAGAACTGGGGGTGTCTGCGGAGGGAATCGCTCCAGTACACCCACCGCTGCGATGCAGACAGCTGTGTCCTCATCTGCTGTGGGCATTGGGTCAGTAAGGTATGTTGCTCTGGCACTAGAGAGAACAAAATGCTTTAAAAAGTATAAAATTATTTTAGAGCTTTGATTTGAATGCATTAAAAGTCTGTTAATTCTTGGTGCTAATCAAAGCTGTGCGTGGGGAATCCAGAGGGCTGATGGCTGAGCTATATTTAGCTGACACACTGGACATCCAGTTTAACTGAAAAAACCAAACCGTGATGCATCTCTCCTGCCTAAAGACAGCACTCAGGTGATCTTATCCCTCCCGTTAATTTGTTCTGCATTCCTGGGTAGCACTCATCTCTGTTCTCCAGCTTCCCTCACCGTAAATACCTGGAGCGATCATGCTGTCCAGTACTGCTTGTGTGTTGTGTCAACCCGCACTTGGTATGTGAAGACACCGTGTCTGTGTAACAATCGCCAGGCTTTTAAAGCCTTTGCCAATGGTGCGGGTCTGTGCTACCCACCTCCCCCATGCTTCACCCCCCAGAGATGCAGGTTCTTGATGGCCGGGGAGCCATCAGCCACCCCACGGCAGCCCGTGCGACGCTGGCGGGGTATTTCCTTAGGAGAACATCTCCTTTTGCATCACTGCTTGACACAGATACTGAAACAGAGCGAAACACGAATAGCGTGTAAAACAATAGTCCGTGGTAACAGCCATACGATACCTGGTGCAAAGGGAGACAGGGACTGGGCAGGCGAAATACTGCTTCCAGAGAAGCGCTTGACCAAGTTTAGCTGTAAAATCATCAGAGAAGAACACAAATTCAAGCGCACACAGAGATGGTTATTTAGACTGGCTACTTGCTGTCAGGAACACAGTTTAGCATGGGACAAGGAGGGTTTTTTATCATCTGACCCTTTTGCCAGCATTAATGAATTACAAAGAAAAGCTTTATTTTAAATCCGATAAAACCCCACCAAAGGCTGTGGAATAGGTCGCCATCGTGGGAATTTCTACTTCTGCCCAAAAACATGAAAACCCCTCTCCAGCCCCCCACCCTCCAGCTGTGCAACCTTTGAAGATGTGCAGGTCTGTCCCCAGAGCAGAGGTCGCTTTCCCACATCTGCCAAGACCACTGCTCTTAGGATTGTGCCTTCCTTTTTTTCTTGTACATGGGCTGGAATGAGAATTTACATCCCCAAAATCCTTCCCCATCCAGAATGTGACATTGAAGTGAGGCTCCTGGGATGTGACCCAACGTCTTGGTCTGATCCCGTAGCCCGTTGACTTGTGCTGCAGAGCTGGCCATGCAGGTCACCGGCTGGTGGGGACATTCTTCTGGGAGCCCAGGGACCATTGGTGTTTGCAGAATGTATTTATACAGGCGGGATGCTGATGAGATCCTTCTACAGGCTTCCCCAATTTTAGATTTTGGCAAGATCATCATCTACACCAATAACCTGAAAATCATCCGTGCGCCGATGGACCAGAAAGAGCTCATGAGGAGAATCGTCCAGGCTGAGGGAATAAGTGACTGGGCCTTCGTATACCGGGAAAGGAAAGAAAGATTTGTCAGCGGGCGTAAAAAAGATGTGGAAAAAAAGGTTGCCTGCAACCAGTATGTGCAGGTAAGATATTTTTTTTTCTCTAAGGCTTTTGGGTCTTAAAGGTCTGGTCAGACCACTGAGTGCTCCCGCCCAAGCCCCATCTCTGTATCTGACACTTCCCTAAATCTGGATTAAAAGCATCACTGTGTTCCTCTTTCCGCTCGGGGGATAACCGACCAACACTGCACTGCAGTTTGCGCGCTGGGGACAACCATTCTGTTTGCAGTGCTCGTGTCTCCCACCGGATCCCTCCCCTGGACATCACTGGTGCTCATGTAGCTTGGCTTAGCTCCATCCTCTGTCACTGTCTCCCAGTGGAATAAGTCCAGGCCGGAGTTTTTCCAGCCGAACAAAGCTAAACACAGCTGCTCTGTGGTTGAGACTGCTGGAGGCTAAAATTTTAATATCAGCTGAAATAAGATTGTGCCTTCCACTTGTTTTCTCACAGGTTAGTCTTTGTTGGTCAGAATCCCAATTAGTCTGACCATAATTTGATCCCACAAAGCATCATGTTGTTGTGCAGGGCAAATACAAAGCATCAGAGTTTTGCAGGTCTGAGTGCAGTCACCTCGGTCCTCCTGCAGCCATGAGCCTGCGCACGGCCCCCTTGCACAGAGACCCCGGGAAAACTGGAAACAGCCCCGAGAAACTGAGCAGGAAGTTTGGCCTCTGTCCGTTTTGAAATTAACTTGATTTTCAGAGAAAGGGCTTTAACATAAAAGCCACAATTCATTGCATCTCCCAGCGACGCCTATCTGAGTCATCAAAAATCACTCCTGGCCTTTGGGGGGGGAACACAGGGGAAAGGACCCCCCCACGGTAATGGATCGCCTTCCCCCAGTGGCACACCTGGGAGGAGGGCACAGCTCCAGAGAAACCTGTTAACCCTCTAAGGGCTCAAAGTACTTCTGTTCTTGAGGTTTGGGAACAAAAAGTAAAACTTGAAGGTCCTAAAGCGATGATGTTTTTAGAATGATTTTGGACTTTCTGTACACTGGTATAACGAGCATTCATTTAAAGATGACCAAATCACAGAAGATTATTCCAAGAATTCAGTTAATTCGCACTATCAAATTCATAAGCAGGCACCAATACGATGCGTGTCTGGCACCCGCTCCCCGTATCGTAGTTACAACCTCGTTCCGTAGCGCGGGGTAGAGCAGAACCGCTGCACGGGAGTGATGCAGGGCTCTGAACCTGACACCAAAAGAATGAGCCTGCGCCATGCTCCATTCTTCCTGGTGCAGATATTTAATTACTTCTGGGCTCTGCGGAAGCATGGGGTTTTAAGCTGGGATTTGAAAGAGGCTGTCTGGCTCCCCGGGAGCTGGCTGCAAGCACGGGGGACAGCTTGAAAGAAGCTGTGTGTGTCGGTGGTGGGGAGTGGGGGGAGAGGATGGGGAGAAGTGCATGGAGGGATGAAGTGTGGCTCAGAACGGAGAATGCAGAGCTGGGAGGATGGATGTGTTCAGAAATGACAGGAAGATGGGTGGAGCTCTGCAGGAGGAGAAAAGCTGAAAGTATTGTGCTATAAGCCCCATCACATTAACTTCTCATTTCAGAGGTATCCACAAATTGCCCCCAGATATACAGGAGCCTTTTTCTGGAAGATCTTGCTGTAGAGAACAGAACGTTATTGGCAAAGTGGCACGTCAGGAGCAACAATGGCTTAAAAGCCCAAGAGACAGAATTTCCCTCTTTCAACTATTTACTGACTTTGCTGTCTGATAGCCAGGACAGATTTTTTTTCTCAATCTTTCTCTTTCAGGAAGTAGATGCTGAACACGGCTGTTCCCAGTGCAAAGGGTCAGGCTCTGCTCCTTGCTCACTGTGCCACGGAAGCAAGTTTTCAATGCTGGCAAACAGATTCAGGGAGTCCTACAGGGCTCTCCGCTGCCCGGCTTGCAAGGAAAGCGGCATGCAGCCCTGCCAGATCTGCGCTGCCTGACCAGGACCGCCGTCCCTGCCGTGGGCTACGCGCACCCTGGCGAGGTTGTGCTGAAAACTCTGAGTTATTTAACCTCCCAGCAGCCTTGCTAAAGTGATGAGTTTTTAAAAGCTGTGAAAGGCACGCTACACACATCTCACCACCAATGCGAATTCTGCAGCCCTGCTAACAACTGTCCCTCTTATCTCCTGCCTGCACCCGCCTAACTTGTGACCCAGCCCAGACCCAGCTTTGCAGCGATGCTGTCTGCAGGGGTGACATATCCCCCGACACTGGAGGAAATGATCCGCATTCGGATGTCAAGCACCTGCAAAAATGTCTCTGGCATCTGGAACTCAGTGTAAATTTGCCGGCACTGTCCCTCAGCTGGGTGTTGGGTGCCCGGCACCGGCAGGTCCCGACGCACCAGGCACTCCAGTATCATCACGAAGCGCAGCAGAAGTAGGTGCAGCTCGGGCACGTCAGTAACGTGTCAGGGTGTACAGTCTGTTTGTACAACAACAGCAGAGCCCTGCCTCCCCTGGGCTTTAACTTGCTGAACTTCATAAAATTACACTGTCCTCTGCAGTTAACTCTGTCATCGCCCTGCAGTGTCACAGGCATTTCCCGAGGATTTGGCTGGTTCTTAGATCTGCTTTAGCGGACACTGCGATTCCTTTGGGGTCTGATTTATGGGAAGAAGTTGAAACCCCTTCCCAAACCTGGAGCTATAAAAAAGTACAATAGTTTATTATTATAAATAGAAGTAATTAAGTTTTTAGCCTCCTTGTGAGGAAGCGCTGAACTAAAATTCCCCTGTACAATGCTCAGCACTTTTCAGGACCAGGCTGGTGGTGAGCAGGACTTTGGTTGCTTCATATTAATCCCATGTTGTAATCTGCAGAAGGTAAACTCTAATTAGTTGAGGTGAAGCAATGATGCGGGATACTCTGCAGGCTGCCACTGATGGTGCAGAACGCAGGGGCTTCGGGGGGCTTCGGCAAACAGGGGAAAGGTATATTTTTTCCCCAAAGCATGAACTTATTACATTTTATATTCACGAGCAATGTTAGTGCAGCCTTAACTCACATATTACCTCTGAGACTCTGATGAGTTAAGAGACTGCTCACATGTACTTCATGCTGAGGCTGCAAGCCTAGACAGGGTAATTTATGGCCAAGTTTCTGTTTTCCTGGGGTAGGTTATAAGATTTCTCTGCAATACTTAAATGATTAGAAACAATGCCGGTTTAGCTCTTAGACTTCCATATGTCTCCTACTGAAATTGTTCAGAGGGTACTGAGGGTTTCTTTTCCAAAAGAAGTGCATAAATCCCGAGCAGATACTTGATTGCCTTCACTTATTGTATCAGGATCTGCAATATGAAAAATGCCGTCCTTTGGGTATTCACTGAGGGCAGGCGAGACCTCACAGACCAGAAACTGCCGTCAAGCAGAGCTCTTCCCTCTAACTTGACCCGTTTGATCTCACAGTTTGTTGGGCTTGTTTACAAGTTTGCTGGCATCAGAGAAGAAAAAAGCAACCAGGTGAAATTGTTGGCTGATGATGTTTACAATAAAACTAGATGCAAGTATGCATTTATAAAATCAATATTTATTGTTCTTCAGTAACGACAATGTTTCTCAACCACCACCACTCCTCCTGGCTGTGTCAGCTCTTCCCTTCATCCCCACACGTTGGTGGGTGATGCCTGCAGCTGGGCTCTTCCCTTTTCGGGTCTGTGGTCCCGGGGACTGCAGGGCTTGTCTGGGCACGGCTCAGAGCCGGTGGGTTTGTCCCCTGCTCTCCATGCACTCCGTTCATTTTTGGTAAGACCCTGCCTTGATCTGACCAATAAATGCTTTTATTTGAGATGAAGTAGATGTCCGAGCTTTCCTGCAGCATCGTGGCGAGGCGGTGCTTTGGTAACGGGCTGCTTTCAACACGCTGCTGCTTTGTTTCTCCGTTGGCCTGATGCTCCCGCCCGTCCCCAGCCCGCGGAGGGCGTTGGGGGGATCCCGGCTGTGCCCCGCTGCCCGTCCCCGTCCCTGTCCGGCCCGGT